CACAAGCAGGTTCAGAGCTGTGGTGGAAGAAAAACGTGACTGGCCCTGACTTCTCTACCCTGCTGCAGCCGGTAGGCTTCATACAGTGTCTGTTTACACAGAGCTCCAGTTTGGAAATGGAGTTAGACCCATGTCTTGCCAGCAGCTTTCTGGCATCTTAAGGAGGGATCACAGATTCCAGGATTTGAGAAACACGTTCCCTTCCACCACCTCCCACCCTCCAAAAACCAATTCCACGTGCACATGGCCCCAGTGCCTGTGTGTAGCAGCTGGTATGACTTAACAAGCTGAACCAGCTTTGAAGGGGCCGTGGCAGAACTGCTGTGATTCACGGTGTGCTTGCTGGGCTTTCGCTAGCCACGTGGTGGTGGCTCGGATCTCCCTTCGGATGTTATGCCTCTTCCGGGCCCTCAGTAGCATCAAGGTAGCTCTATCTTCCTGCGCCACAGACCCCATTCTCGCCTGCCACATCTTGATGTTCCACAATGGGTGGGGTCGGCTGGTGGGTCCCTCGATGCCTGGGTCTGGCCTGGTGGTTGTTCACGGGGCTCCACTGCCCCTACACCCTGGCCTTACGCCACCTTTGCTGGGTCACCTTGATGATGTCCTAAGGCCTTCCTAGCAGGTCACACCCTCCCTGCTTGCGCACTGATGCCTTGTGGGGCTGGGTCATGCACACTTTGGCCGGGCCTCACTCCTAACCCCGTCCTCCGAGAAGCTACCTCCCGGGAACTGCTCCCTAGCTTCCCTATGCCTCGTACCCCAGGTGCCCTCACCCCAAATTCCCCAACCAGGGGAATTTCACCTGCAGCAACCGAAACTCAGTGCTCTTCCATCAACCCACGTGAATCTCTCTTCGCTTAGCCTCTGAGTTCATGCCATTCCTGCTTGCCATCCTGGGCCTTGTTGGCGACCCCGTCTCGATCACGACCCCTCATCTGGGTCATCCCGGGCTCTTGCCTACTGGCATGCTGTCCTCCACACCCCACCGGCCCTCCACTCCACCTGCATCTTGCTGCGTTCTCATGGCTGCCTCCATTCTCCCTCCTTCAGGCCAGGGTTCACTCCACTGGTGCCCGCTGAGGGATATTAATGGGGTGCCTCTCTCCCCGATGAACCTTGCTCTGGCTCACCAGCCTCCTCTGGATCCTCCCCCGGGGCTTGCCCCTTCAGCGGTGTCTGCAGCTGCGTGGCTTGCCCCTTCAGCGGTGTCTGCAGCAGCTCTGTCTCTGGGCCATCCGCCCCCTTTGCTGCAGCCGCTGCCATTTTTAGCTTTGCCTGCTGATGTCTGGTGCTGATGTCACCGGCCGGCTGCAGCTGTACATAGAGGCGGCTCATGAGCTGCGTGGGTTCCTCCCGCTGTTCCCCATGTGCGTTGTTCAGGGCTGCAGGTAAGTATCCTGCATTACCCCGCTTCCCGGGATACACGGGATGCTTGTCCAGCTGCCCTCGGACGCGTTGCGTTCTGTTGTTACGAAGATGATAACAGCCGTAATACTGGTCTGATCTCTGCCACCTGAATCTGGGCGCAAATAAAGTAGGATTCACAGAATCTAGTGAAGTGAAACATTTCCTATGCTGCAGTGGTTTCTGCTTTTGAACAAGGTGATATGATAACAGGAACTTGGAGACTGAAGCAGTAAGTCAGGCCACCGTTCTCATCTGCTTCGCCTGCTCTGCAGGTGCTGAAGCAGTCGGGTTTTGCATGGGGACTTCTGGAAGTCGTACTTTACTGTGCCCCGGTAGCAAGATGAACTAAGCAGGCTTGTGCCTTCCACCTGAATCTTCTTGATCTTGCCACTTACAGCAGCTTTAAGACACAGATTGATTGTGCTGGTATTTCATTTGAATGTTGTGCTCAGTAAGTTTTGTGTAACCACCACACCTTTCTGCTTCATTTTTGAGCCAGTTTTCCAAGATCTCCTGTGGCACAGGAGGAGGAAATGGTGCAGTACACACTTTGCTCCCGTTGCTATTTGTGCTTAGATCAAATGTCTCTGCTTTTTCTTGGAGTGCAATTTGTTTTATAAATGCTTGGAACCAGCTACTTGTGCAATTGCTGATTGTGCTGGGCACAGAGGGAGCAGTTCTGCTTTCCTCCTGTGGCCTGCAAATAGCCTGGCTCTGCATCTGTTCTGAAAGTCACCAGGAATAAGGAGACTCCATTTTACAGAAAAATAATGTGCGATTTCAAGAGCAGAATACGTTCAGAGCATGCGGTGTGCTCTTCACATGACTTCTGGGGAAACGAAATGAGGAGCTGTAATTGAAACTCTGCTGTAGTAAATTTAAAATTAATTGGCTAACAAATTTCATCTCTTAGGCATGCCATCTGAGGCTAAAAGACTTAATTTTTTTATATATGTTTTAAATATTTCATCATATACTATCATAATTCAAAGTCAGTAAAGCATTCAGAACTATTTAACTACTAATAGAGAGGGAATAGATTTCATGATTTCAACAAATTTGTTGTATTAAGACCTATTTAGAGATACTTTGAATCACTAAAAACCTCAGTTACATACTTAGCCCAGTAGATCAGCTGGTGTTTTTAGTGACTTGAGAAAAACAGTTGCTTGTTCTAGACTCTTGTGCTTCTCCCCCAGGGCAGGACAAGAGCATTGAGGGAGGTTGTGCTTTAAGTGTCAAGTGGATGGAAGTATTCGCCTTCCCTTCAGAAGATACACATTGTATAAGAAGCCACTTTTAAATTTAGTATGGTTAAAAAGTTTAACAAAAATAGTCGTGTAATCTAAAAGTGCTTATTTATTATTTATTTATTAAACGTAGGCTATTCTTTGAATTATCAGTGCTTTTCTTTGCAAGGAGTGGGTCAGTTTCCAGAATGGGGATAAGTGGGCTGATTGGCTTTTAAAACACTTGGGTTGTTCTTAAAATACCTGTTTCAGTAGAATTATTTGTAAGATTTTGTATTGCGCAGCAGGACCTCAACCCTAGAAAACTAGTGGTGGAGCTGCATTAGGTATTGTAACAAAAAGGCCTGCAAAGGATCCTATGACCCCATCTGCCTTCCTGCCCTTTGGGCGGGGGGCTGGACTAGATGATCTTCCAAGGTCCGTTCCAGCTCTAATGTCTGTGAAATCTATGAAATTACTCCCTGTTTGCTGAGCAGCCAAGGTTTGAGTATATATTCCTTGCTAACTGAAAGGAGTTCCTGAATATCATTGTTTTCTTTGAATCATAGTAACTGTGAACAAAAATATGATCAGGCTTCTTCTTTTGGATAAGTGAGAAAACCAAGTTTCTAGTTGGTTGTGTTTGACAGCCAGTCTAGTGACACTGCTGGTAGGAGTGTGAATGTTGGCCCCAGCGTCTCAGCCAGCCTCCTGTTTATAAGCTGAATTCTTCCTGCCTGGGTTCCTGCTTGCAGGTTCTTTGCATACATTTCTCTTCTCATTGTGTCCTAATCTGTTATGTGAAGTTTTGGTTTGCTGCTCCATTAGCAGTCCTGCAATTCCCTGGACTTGGCTTCATTTAGCTTAGAGAAGTGAACCCCATATATAGTTTCATTTCAGTTTTAGGTTTAAAACTTTGGGATCCATATGAAAGAAGGACATGAAAAAAACCAAAATAAATCTACCTGTTGTCCTCATGCTGATTTATCGCAATACTTACTATAACTTGGCAAACACTAGTCTAATTAATAACATCTTCCTTTTCAGTGGATTTGAATTAACTGAGAAATGGCAGATTGACACCTGAAGCTCAAAAAAACTGACAGTTCAGTTGCAGGTAGTTGAAAATAATTGGTCAGAAGTAGCAGGCCATATTTGTAGCTGATTCTGTCTGCACACCTGCATTTTTTCATATTCAGCAGTTAACAGTATACAGATCTATAGTACAGCAGATCTGTGTGTTGATGACCCTTGCTGCTTCTTACAGCCATTAAACTAGTATCACATTCCATCTAGCATTGGGACGTCTTACCTGCAACTGTGGAAGCAACGATAACTGGAAGTGTGTGCTCCTGTTAACAAATAAATCTGTCACATTATCTTGTGGATAATAGTGGAATGTGGAAAAGAGTACTGGTGACCACTGCAAATGCATAAGAGGACAGTCCCAGGAGCATCACAAATATAGGCTTTTATAGAGTCGCCAGTGAAAAGGAAAGCGGCAGTAGCACAGGACCAAGTTTTGCAATCAAATGTAAAAAATGCAAAATTCTGTGCCAGTTGTGCGCAAACTGAGGCAAGCATCTCTTGTGGCCGGCTCAGTTGCCCACCTGCCTCACACGCGGGCAGCCTTTCTTGCCACTTTCCAATCCACCTGAGTGTCTGTGCACACGCACATTTGTTTGAGCCCTCAGGAAGGAAGGCACTCGTTTTTTTTACTTTAGGCTGGGGGAGGGATGAACTCATAAGCAAAGGAGCCCAGTGTGTCTTTAAATGGGAATTGTTCAGCTATTCTGCAGTTCATCTGCCTTCTCTTCACAATGTGCTTCAGCTTCCAGACAGCATTAGAGAATAGCTGCATTTCTGAGGCAAATTGCAGGCCTCACAATAGCATTCACAATTGCCTTGCTCTCACTGTATGCAGAGTCAAAGGGAGCAAATGCATTTTACTTTTTCTACCTCAAGAAAGGTACCCAAATAATCAAAGATTTTTACACTCCAAGATCCAAGTTGATGACTTTACAGCAAGCTCTAGTGCCTGAGTTGACACAAGGGATAAAAAAAAAGCAACTTAGGTTGAGATCAGAAGCGTCTGTTGTACTTTTTTGGCAGTGAAGGGGGCGTGAAGTGTCAGACCAGTGACCAGTGGGAGCTGGATGAAGTAATCTATCTTTCCATGCATTTTCTAAACATCCCACCCTCCACTTCTTTATTACTAAGTTCCCTTCTGGTGGAAGAGCTTGAGACATAAACATCCATCTGCTTTGCCTCTAGAATTGAAATATGCTCTTGTTAACTGAACATGATGAGCTGTCCTTCAATTAGAATCTGGAAAATTTCACAAGTTATTTTATATTTCAGGTCCTCAGTATCGGCTGGAGAAGCAGAGTGAACCCAATGTCCCCGTAGACTTAGACTGTACCTTGGAGAGCCAGAGCACTTTGGAATTCTGCCTGGTCCGAGAGAACAGTACGTTTGCCCTTTTCACTTCTGCTCTTGTAAATCACTTAAGCTCACATAAGTTACACGTGCTGGAATACAGGCTGTGCCGTCTGGGCAAGTAAGTTTTGAAGAGACTCTGTTTCCTAAGGCACTTTCCAACTGTGCCAAAAGAATATTCCGAAGGGAAATGATTGATTTCATACCTTTTGGTAAATAGTCTGCATCCTGTTTATCACTTCATAATTAATCTTTTTCTGTTAAACTCTGTTCTGTAAAGTTATGACCAGCCCTGAAAAACACTTGAAATATAAATCCTTTTCTGTTGCAAGCCCTATTTAGTGGATCAAGTGATTAGTCTGCAATATATTTTACCATATCAATATTGCTGCTCAAGGAGCCAGTGTTCTTTACAGCTTTAGAAGAGATTAACTGCATGGATGCCGCAAGAGCAGAGATGCGCAGCTGTGGGGCTTGTTTACATGTGGGAACAAATGATTTTCTCTCTAGAAATGCTAATTAAACATTCCTTTTTCCTTTCCTCCTTCTTGTCTTTTTTTTTTTCTTTTTCCAGGTTTCATAAAGTTTTTGGAACAGGAGGCAGAGTTGTAAGGGTTGTCCGGTGATCCTTTTTGGTCCATCCATCGCTTTCCTGCTTTTTCAGTGACCAAGCTCTCAGTTCTGTTTGTTTGCTTTTCTCCTCCTCCTCCCTCTGCCCAACTTGTGGTGTGGTGCAGCTCTCAACATTTTGATTTCACTAGTCTGAAAAAATGGCATAGGTTTAATTGAGCTCATAAACACTACCAAGAAGTCTCCTATTTCAGCAGTGGTGATTGGAGCGCTTGTCAAGGAGCAGTGGAATTTCTGGTCTTCTTATGGAGTAAACCTTTCATTTGTGTTCATCAGGCTACAGTGTTTCTTTCTTAATTCCTTCCTAGAAGGATAGGACATAAAAAGATGAAGGAGCATCATGGGGGGTAATGCCTACCTCACGTAAGCGATGGGGCCACCCATTTAACAGTGGCAAAATTGAGGTTAAAAACAACAGAAGTGACTTGTCTAACATCAGGTTGGTCAGAGCTGAGTTCATGTCTCTTGTTCCAAACTCGTGGCCTACATCCAGTACAGATGGAGCTTTCCCTCTTGATACTCCGCCTTTATTTGTGTGCCGTACTGTTCTAGGAGACCACACAAATGTTGGAAGGGTGGCTATAGAAGTAGAAACTGAAGCTTTAATCTTGCTCAGCAAACCCAACTGTTTCATAGTATTAAATTTCATGAAGTGTGTACTAATGATTTGGGTGCATCTCTAAATTATTTTTGTATATCAAATTTGAATTTACTATAGCAAAAAAGTTTAGCAGTTTAGTTGTTATTAAACAAAGGCCCACATACCAGCTTCAGTGAAAGGTTTCCCCTGGTTCATATTTCCATAAATGCCTGGGTGCCTGCTATTGACTTGGTGGCAGGAGAGACCAGCCCAGCAAGGCACCTGAGGCAGTCCTTGCTGCCAGTTCTTCTGATCACTTGCAGTCATTCGTTGGACCTCTGCATCCTTTCCCTGCAGTGTCTTTTTAGAGGCTGCTCCCAGTAAGTTAATGACCCCCAGAACTCCCACCTTGTGCATGGGTTCCTCTTCACAGGCACAGTAGTGAACAGAGACTGGACGTACGCGTTCTGCAAGCCTCGCAAGGACCAGTCACATTGCATCAGTTAGCGCAAGACTTGTGCAGACCTAGACAAAACAGCAGGTGCCAATCTCACCTCCTTCCTCCATCTCTTCGCCGTTCTGAAATGCTCCTTGCATTTCGGTGAGAGTCCTCTCGAGAGTCCATGATCCCTCTGTCTTGCCTGTGGCTTCCCTTCTTAATGGTGACTGATCCTCAGAGTTTAACCAGCCTCTCTTGCCTCTGGTCTGGTGCATAGGGAGAGTTGACACCACCCTGGAGACAGACAGCGCTCGGTGTGTGCACCTAAACATCCAGCAGAACAGTGATTATATAAGGGTGATTATATAAGGGTTTCCAAAATCGCCTCAGAGAACTTGGACCTGGCGATGTTGCATCTATCTTTGGATGAGGCTAAAAATAGAGGTTCATTTGTGTTCATTAATAAAATAATTAATCAATGGCAATCTTCACATCAAATACAAAGAACCATATTTTAGGTTCGGTCACATTTTATAAACTATTTTTGTTGAACTTTGGTTATGTATGCTGGTAAAGAAGAATTTGTTGGGAGAGCTATTATTCTTTAAATATGCTCATTTATTTTTTTCACAAGGAGCCAAACAGCTGGTGGTAAAATAGATGCCAGTTTATTCTGGGCAAAGATGTAGTTTATAATTCATAGTATGAAGTAAAACAGAAAAACTTCATTAATAGAAATACACCTAAAGAAATCTCCTATGCTTTCAAGGTTTATTAGTGATAGTCCAACTAATAAACCATTGCTCGTATTTGGAACTTTTCAGGTTGCAAGTGAGATTTATATTTAAACTGAATGCTTACATTTTACAGTCTAAAATGCTTTTATGAGAAGCAGCTAACTATTCATGGCTAATTTAGTTTTATTCTCTCTATCCTGCTTCTGGAAAGTTCCTCTTTCTCATTTTATCATTAGGTAGTAATTAGTATTCAAGGGAAATTGGTCTTAATATATTAATATTGGTTAAGTGCCTTTAGACCTGTACCAAAGCCAATGTCTTATTGGAAAATGTAATTGGGGATTCTGTGTATGTAATTAATTGAATTACAATTAAGAACTTTCATTAAGCAATACACTAGTATATTAAAGTAATAAGGGGATGTTTTTGCAATGCAGTTAACCTTGTATTTTTGTTTTATTGGGGAAATACAGATGTGCTTGCTCTTGAAGATGTCATTGTGATTGTATTTAAGTAGCCATGCTAGAGCTAGTGTTTTTGGGATACCTTTAATGCTAAGGGTTTACCATTTTCATGTGCCAGTGAATACCTAGTCTTTGAGGAGGATGATCTGCTTTGGTCCTGATGACTCCTTGGGCATCTTGCTTGGAAGTTCCTAGACCCAACCCTCCATTCTTTGCTGCTTACTTCTTTCACCATTTGAAAGTGAGCCGTGCACCCAGGAGAGAAGGTTGACTTCTGCGCTTCATCGTGCAGTCCACTGGCTGAACTGCATCCACGTCGTACTAGCAGAAGGGGATGCCAGTGATCTTGAAGTAATCTCAGTTTTGCGTATGGGCAAAGACCTTAAGTCTGAACTGGTTCTGGAGTGCTAAGCACAGACGGTCCTTGCTGGTCCCTTGCAGCCTTGCAAGGGTGCCCAGCAGATTTTTGGGCAGCGCTGTGAAAGCCTAGAAAGATCAGAGAATAGCTGCTCTCATTCTGCACTCCAGGGGTCACAGATCAGGATTACATACCTCTTCTTTCTTTCTAGGGATCATCTCTCTTTTTTTTGCTGAACTCATGTTCAGTGGATAGGCAGTGGACCTCTCTGGAGCCTTTCTTAGTGTTTTCCTCCCTGCCCCATGATGACAGAAGCCTGTTGTAGGGATCACAATGAAAAACTCGTTTCTTTTCCTGGCACTCTTCCTAGTGGTCTTCCTTGGTGCTCTGTTTCTCCAGTGCCTAGCCTCAGCTTTTCTCACTTCTCATTTCTGCTGCTTTTATACAGAAAACCCCCAAGTCATTTGTGGCAGCCTAACTTCACAGAGCCAGCTCTCGTTAGATAGGTAATGAAATGATAGCAATACAAAGGTATTTGTGAACTTAGCACCTTTGTCCTTTAGAAACCATTTTTTAAAGGACTACGTTTTTTTAAATAGAAATGTGTTCTCCCAGTAACAAGAGTAGTGTCTGGCTTCAGAAGAATTGCTGGATAGGCTCTTGGTCTAAATAATAGACCTGGAGAGTCCACTTTAGCTGATTGCCTTGCCAAGCAGAAGCTTTTACATTCAAAAGCCACATTGTGATCTCCATTACAAATGCCCTGACAGGCCTGTAAATATTTGACAGGTTTATTCACAGCTGCTTGCATGTGGAAAGTATTTTTTATGATGTTGCCTCCAATCAGATTTGGAGATGGCTCTTTCCTCCATTGCTGAATTCCTTCAGTCTCCGAGACATTCTTATAAAGCTGCAGGGGAAGGAGCAATATGCCAAGTTCTATAGTCAGGTTTTTTCCCTGCAGGGCATTTATCTCTGTTGTAACTGATATTACTGCTATTATCCAATGCACCCTCAGGGGTCTTAGTGTCTTGCCATCTTCAGACAGATGATCTGTTCTGATGGTGGAATTCCTGGCTTCTGTCCCATGAGCAGTAATGATAGAAATCCTACAGACCTGAATCTTAAACCGTTCCATGCATGTAAAACCAAATTAGCAAAGGTAACCATGATTCACAGAGGGTCTGGAATACTTCCACTGCAGTTTACCTTCATGGAGCTTGCTTAGCTCAGCAGTTGTCCTTCGTCCTTTTAAAAATTGACAGAATATTCAAATATTAAAATCCAGTAGAGATTAATACTCATTGGGGTATATTGCTAGTGTTAATGTTCATAATGTGTTCTGAGAAACTGTTGATGGGAGATGCTAGGAGAAGAGTGTGCATTGGAGCCATTTCGTACTTCAGGAACTATTTAATACTTAAGGAACATAAAGTGATTCTCTTCCCCCACCATTAAAATACTGCTCCCCAATGGGTAGAAGAACATGGCAAATAGCTAATGGTGCGTACTGCAGCATACCGAAGCTTAGCATAAGAAGTAAAACCTTTGAGAGAATTCTGTATTCGACTGAAAACACGAGAAGGGTTTCAGAAGGCAGGTTAATTACCCTCCAGGGCCAATCCAGAATTAACCTGGAACCAGACTGGGGCAGTGGGGTTAACATCCCTATCGCCGTTATAGGTGGGTCGGTGGTTTCCGAACGAAGAATACCACTGTTGACTCGTCTGCCGCAGTCCCTGTGGCACCAAAGCGTTCTTTGGAGACTGCCTATCAAATACGCACCCAGCCAGACCATGCTTAGCTAGGCATCTGATGCAATGCAGATGATATGGCTTCAGGCGGTAATATACTTGACCATGTAATATTGCTGTTCTGTGGGTTGTATCAAAATGTTATGGATGAAATGCTGCAGTGTTAAAGCACAATTGGGTAATTTAAAGAATAAGTGGCAGCTTTAAATTGGCATTTCACTAGTTTTATCTCTTGAACTCAGTCCTTTAACTTATTTTTCTAGTCAGTTTTCTTTTTATTCTGAGGCAATCTGTTCCATTACTGCCCTTCTTGCTTTCCTCCCTAGCACCTTTTAAGCCATAGGGTTTCTTAGATGCTTTTAAGTGCACCAAAAGTTTGACATATCTCATTGTATCTTTGAAGTACTGCAGCATGAGAGTTTGACATGATACATTATGATAATCCATAGTATAGAGACATTAACACAGGGGTCTTTGACAAAATACATTGTAATGTCTCTGAAGGAGCCATTACAATTTATCTTGTCATTCTCTAGCATGGAATGGTTACAGTATTAAGAGGGTGTGCACACATTCGCATACTTATATGGACCATTTCATTGGACTTAAAAAAAAAAAAAAAAAAAAATGCCGAATGATATAGTCCCGTTTGTAATTGTAATACGGGGAAGCTAATATGTGTGTTGCGAGGGACATTGCTAGTCTAATTCTTTCACACAAGGTGGGGAATGGGGAAGGCTGCTGGGCCACTGTCTTTGTAAAATGTGTCTCTTGATACATGCTCTAAAATATACTTTTAAAGTATGTAGTTTTAGGATCCCGACTTCTCTGCAGGTGGTGGGAGCAGGGCGTAGTACAGAGAGGAGAATCTGGCTGTGGATTCACAAACTGAAAGGGGGAAAACTTTTTCCTAGGGCAAAAGATATTGAGTATAAGGTTTAATTCCCCTCCTCCCCACAGGTCTAGACTGATCCTGGCCGCTGCTGTGATGTTAGCACCCACTAAAAGAAATAGGCGGTAGTTCTAAATCCCAAATTATCCACATTAAAAGGAAGCCTGCTTCTGAATCAGCTGTGTGCATTTGACACATGCTGTAGCTTTCCTCTCCTGGGAGCTGTTGCCTTCCCTATCATAAGCAAACAATCCCCTTGTTGCCAGAATCCAAATATGGAAACTTACTCTAGTTTCACTATGACTTGAAATCCCCAAATGGCATATGAATTTACACCACTAGAGTAGGAGGTCAATGCAGGAAGCATTAGTGTGTTGAGCCAGCTCCAACTACATAAGTCTTGAACAGAATTAATATATAGGAATTGACAAGCCTTTTGCTGGTTATACTGTAGCTTTAAGACCTCTAGTAAAATTCTGTCGTCTCATCTGCCCATTATTAAAATTTCAGCAAAATATAAAGTTTTCATTAATCTCCCACAGCAAATTTAGGAGTGTGAACTGGCAGTTGTTTCAGCTTTTAGGACTACATTAGCTGGTGTATTAAACAAAATGTGTCACTCTTCAGTATCTTCTGCAAGAAGCTAAATCAATTTTCAATCATATTTATGCACCACTTTATCTAAAAGCATCTGAATTATCATTTAGAGCCACGATGCTTTATTAGCAGCTGGCATAAAAATTACTCTGTAAAAAATTATGTCACGTTATAGTAATTTTTAAATTGGTGTTAATCCAACATCATAAAATGTAAAAATCTTAAAAGCGTGTTATATTTTTCAGTAATTGGCATTTTGGCTTAATGAGATGTTACCTTTTGTAAAGCTGGTATCTGCAGCAGTAATGAGAATACCAATCGGTAAATAAAATGATTTCTTCATATAGGCCTCACAATGCAAGGATGAAGGCACTGCCCGGATTGTCAGGCACATGAGAGTTTTAGTGGATTCAGGGGGAATGTAAAGTAGTAAATATGACAGTTAAATCCCACAATGGTAAAATATTAAAGTGGACTAAAACTGAATTGCTAGATAGATCCCACTGTCCAGTAGCATCTGTACACTGTGTTACCAGGAGTGCTGGATGTGTAAAATGTAACCCCCTTCAGCCCAGAATAGTCTGGCACTGGTTCTCCTGGTTCAGGCAGGTATGCACTTTTGGCAAAACCATTCCTGGATTAGAAGATGCATGCAGAGTCCCTGCTGTGAAGCAGAGGAAGGGTAGTGTGAACACAGCCACTGGGCATGAGAGATCTTTCACTTAGGGCGTGTCCACGAGATGCGTTAACGTGCACTAAAAATGGTGAAATTAGGCTAATCACACCTACATTTGATACCTGCAAATGCAGGCATGATTAGTTAAAAGCACATTAATGCACGTGTAGATGTAATCCAGTGTTAACTTTAGTGCTGGGTTTGCCCAACCACTAGGGGCACACGGCAGGGCTGCAGGGACTTGGCACGAACTTTAGTAACTTTAGTGCCAAGGGCACTAACTTTAGTCCCAAGTCTATGCATGTGTAGATACCTGCCAAAAATTGCTTAATGTGCATTAAATTTAGTCACATTTAAATGCACATGTAGACCTGCCCTTAGAGAAGTTTTGCTTTAGGATATGATTGCATCTTAATGGAACCTGCCATCATGGTTTTCCACAGATTTTTTTTGTGGGGCAATTAAAAAAATTTAAACCTATTTTTTTAATATATGATATTCGTAGTGAGTTTATATTTTTGCTTTTCATCCAAGTATAGGATCCACTTCTATCTTCAGATACATGGGTAGTGAAGCTATGTTTTTCTTAAAAATATCTGCTAACATCACCATGTACACCTCAGCTAGTACTGCATTTGTAACTGCAAGACAATCTCAGTGTTCTGGTTTAAGTTGCGTATGCCATATTTTAAGTCAGACTTTTTTTTTTTTGCAGGTTCAAGAGGAGAAGAGATATCAGAAGAAGATCCTCAGATCGATATAGCTACAGTTCAAGATATGCTTAGTAGCCACCATTACAAGTCCTTCAAAGTCAGCATGATCCACAGGCTTCGATTCACCACTGATGTTCAGTTAGGTAAATCCATCTACACTATAAAGCTAAGGAAAATAAGTAGCTGTTGCAAGCAACTGTTTGTCCATCTTGGACACTTTTAACTTTCCTATCACAACACTGTCTGTTTTACCATAAATCAATTGTTTAATATGGCTAATAATATTTCTGCAGCAAGCCCCCCACATTCTCTTCGCACAGTTAGAAATATGTGAGCATTTTTATTCCCTCCAATCAGCTTGCGCATATTCCTTCTACAAGAAGGCCATTGCTGATTTCCCCCCTCCCCTCTTTTGTCTCTGTTTCCCAAAGGAAAACTTTTTGTTGACTGAACTTCTTAAAACCAGTCCCTGCAAAATTAGGAAACCTGTTTTTCAGACCAAAAGATTTTTATAGCCCAGTAGAATGTTGAAGTGGAACAAAATATAGCTGCCGTTCTATAATGGTTTTAATATGAGCCTTTCTACTCTTCTAAATGCTCTGCAAAACCTGAAAGCTAAGGGATGACAGGATTTTAATAAAAAAGCCATTCAATAATTTTTAAGCAATAATGGAGCTTTTATAGGCTCGAGTTTAAATTGTGCAAATTTGATTAATGATGCATAGATAAGTGAACTATGACACTCTTGCAAATACTTTATATTAAAAAATGATTCAGCACTAAAATATTTAGTGCTGCAATGCTTACAAAATACGCTTCTGTAATGTTCAGTGAGACAATCATAGCTTTAAGGTGGGGAAATGTTTCCATTATTTATTATCTGCAGTCTCTTCATTACCACAACTCTAAACGCATGTAAAAATGATATTCCCCTGAAAATATGTACATTGGAGGCTTTTTCAGTTCATTTTGAACTGTCTTGTTAAGGAAGGATTTATACGCTGGCATTGAAGTAGGACAGTGTTAGGCATGTTTTCTGCTCTTGAGCAAACTATCTGGGTGTGATAGTTTGCTTCCAGTGGAGTTTGACACACTGTATCTGGAAGCTGTCATAAATGAGAGCTTGAAAAGGTCATGACAGATCACTAAAGATAAATGGTTAAGGGAGAATAGCTGTTACAGGAAACAAATGGCCAAACCTGTTTAGCAGAGACAGAGCTGACCCTGTCCACTAGCGTAAGGACCATAAACTTCCCTTTCTCCCCTGATTTGTACTACCCTATGTATGTACATATTTTTCAACAGCTCTACAAGTAGCAATATGTTTGTATGTTCCAGCACTACATTAAAAATTCCAATCGGGTATTAATTATAAGGACAAATGGAAAACATCAGAAACTCCAAGGAAGGACATACGAATTGTATGTCCTTAGGTTTTCTTGTGCTAGGGTCCTTTAGTTGATTCTTGTAGCAGTGTCATTAAAAATAAGCCTTCCGGGTCAGCTGGGATTAGTACTGATGAGAGTTAAATGTGCTAATCCTCTTGCTGTGGGGCAGAATAAACTCCATTGAATCCGGCAGGTGAGAGCCCAGTGCATTGAGTAGTCCAAGTTTAACAATGGGTTTAGGGGCATTTGTTGCCAAACAGCTTATTGCTGGTCAGCTGCAAAGAGCTTTCCTTGCAGTATGTTTAACTGTCAATCATATTGCATAACAGCAATAATTAAGTGACAGCTTTTCCTGGGGGGAAAAAAAACTGTTTCCTGGGGGCATTCAGAACCTGAAGTCATTAGGTGACCCCTTGTATTGACTGTATTGATTTTTTGATGGTATTATGTGAACGTATGCACGAGCCAGCAAACACTGGGCTGCAGAGTGGCTGCATTTAAAAACATCCTTCCATTTCCACTAGTCATCTCACTTGCGGTTTACAAATACTCCCTGAAAGCAATAGAAACTTTCAAAAGGGAAGGATCTGTGTATGCATGGCGGTGCTTCAATTATCACGGACAATGAACTGAGCAGCTTGGCTTTACTTTCACACTGTTCACTTTGCAGAACATGGGGAATGTCCTGTTTTATTTATTTACTTCTGAAAATAAGAAGAGTTTTGTTGGAACCTGTGATATAAGGCAACAAATGGACAGAAATACCATTCCATAAACAGTTTATGAAATTAGGGGGCTAGCGTAGAGCCATCTAAAATCTAATGTCTTTATATGTTGGGCGGCAGATCTGTAAATTTGTCAGTTCTTACTAGAATCACCTGTACAAAACCACCCATAAGGAAATACACCCTTGAATAGAACTGCCTTATTTAAAGCCTGCTGCTAGAGACGATGCTACAAAGTACATTTGTGCACAAGTGTTGTGTGCTCTTTCTTATTAAAATTCTGAGAAATGCAGGTCTCTTAAGGCAAGTCAGAGAATCTGAAACCAGGTTTACCAAGAGATCTGGAGTAAAACTCTGGAGTGTGTCCTGTCCTCTGCACCTGTGTGTAATTCTTCTTGATGGTAAAGGGAGTTATGTAAATATCAAGGGAGAAATGACCGGTCTGTGACTGACATTTTTTATTGGAGCTGAAAGCTTTAGTCATGGCAGTTTCAAGGTCTGGGTTTTTATGTTTAACTCATGTCACATTACAATGCACATGTACCATACTGTCAACATTTCTACTCAGTTTCAAACATGCTGTAAGGAAAAAAGATTTATTAATGTACTATTTTATCAAAACTAAAGAAGGCATGTTGATCTGAAAAATTACTGCTGGCCAAGTCTATCAAAAAATGGCCAGTTACAGACCCCAACAAAGAAAACAAGAACGAAGCGGTCTTGCTAGACTGCTATATTTATAAAAAAACTCTTTTGATAAAATGGATGAATTAAGGAAAATTGTAGAGGGATAATATTTTTTGCCTTGATTGTGAATGTGACTAATTCAGCCTGTAAAGCAGGCTGCAAAAGCTTTAAGCTGTAGCTAATACTCTCCAGATTTTTGGGTTCAAATCCATGCAGATTGCGAGCACAATAACACAAAAAGGACAACATTGACAAAGAATGTGCTCCTGTGGATGTGGGCACGCTAAGGCAAATGATGCCAAGATACAGAAATAATGGATGAAGTATACAGCAACAATTTGCAGATAAAAATAATAGAAGTTAAAGTGTATTTTACATGATAAAAGAAAGATGAAAGAGGAGGAAAGTCTGTTACATCTGAGATGGTTACAAAATCCATGCTTTGTGAAGTAGCCTCTGTTGAAAAGATTGATGCAATGGGGAGTGACCTTGGCTTGGAGCAGGAGCTGGTGATGTATGTATGAGCATCTCTCTGCTAAATGGACCCAGATTTGTAGCACTAATATACATGGAAGCCCAGAACCAAACTCAGTATGGCAATAAATCAACAGCCACTTTGGGTGTCATTTCTGGTTTATATTCCACTATTGTTCTATCACTTTAATTCATGTCACTATCATCTGTTCATCTGGAACAGTTTTATATAATTTTCCAGTGGAGTTACCTGACAAATCCTATCAAATTAACAAGGTACATTAACAATATTGACTGACTGTGTGAATTCTGAAGTTGCAGGACCATACAATGAAATTTTTAAAAGTATATTTCTAGTGGTGGGGCTTTTTTCTCCCTTTTTGAGAACAGAGTGAGGATAAGGGTTTATCCTCATGAAGCATCTTTCTCATTTATTTGTAAAAACAAAAAGGAGCTACCATTTCAAATATTATTTTTCCTGAGCTGTAGAAAACATTTAGATTTTGAATAAATAACAGTTACAGTGAAAGAATAAATAAAATGGGTTGGTATAATCTTTCAAAAGTGAAATCTCCTAACAGAATCAGTGTCAGATATAGCTTCCGCCTGTTCAGATTATCTAACACTTATAGTATCAGCTGGACTCTGGACGGTGCCTAATTGAAATCTGGTATCTCTGATATAAGGCATGTCTAATGACAAATTGTGGTATCTGATTAAACAAAAAATTAAGACTTGTTTTGGCATTGCAGGAAGCTGTTGTAATGGCCAGGGTTAAAATGAAAGTTACCTTTTATTTAGTGGAAAGGACTGCAGCAGTGCATCTGATGTACATGTCTGCCTCTGGGTCTCTGTGTATTTTGGTTTTACATGCGATTAAAATACAAATGCAATGGCTGCATGACGTGTGCAGCTGACTGATTTTGAAAAATCACATGGGGTTAAATTTTGAGGGAGAATGTGGAGGAGGTTTTATTTGTTTTTAAATTTGGGATCATATTTTTTTTTATTATGTCCTGCTCCAGCCAAACCAGGCATATATTTTCTAAAGTATTTTAGCCAAAATTCTCAGGAGGAAAAAGGTTATCTCTGCTGGTTTTACAGAGGTAGCAGTTACATGCTGTTTTAAATAGTTCGTATACTTTTGCTTTATTTTGCCTATTTCATCATGACTTTGACCGATCCCTCCTGACCTAAAAATGTAATTTCATTTAATGCTTCACATGGGTCTCACTATGAAAAGCATATTGAGAGGTCTGTTCAGTCATGTCAACAGATACCTGGTAATTGTAAACTAAACAATGACCCTGTATATTCTTCAGTGCCACATAGCAAGGCTGTTGCTTTGTAATACTGTCATAAAGGCTGCTATAAATTGCAAAGCGTATCCCAGGGTAGGTTCCAGCACAGTGTCAACTTTCAGCCAGCTCCCACGGAGCCCCAGATCAATGGCAAAGCTGTTCTTGCCCAAGTTCAAGAAAGCCATGTGAAGAAGTAATACCATTAGCCTCTCTTGTTCTCGCTCTCTAGATGCATCTGTTACAGGTTTCTATATTGCCTGCTCAGACCGTGGCATGTCAGCATGCCCTCTGTGCATCCAGGTCAGCCCAGACACTGCAGCACTGAGTCGGAGCCATCTGGGGAAGCCCTTGTTCAGAAATAAAAGCCTTCTGTGCCAGAAGCTACAGAATCCCCAGCTTGCATTCAAGGCGCTCTAATTAGAGCTGGCTCTAAAATGCTCAGGCTGTAAAAACACACACGATCCTCGGAACCGAGTGTTCTCATCCGGAAGCCTCTGTTCGGATAAGTACCAGGTAGTGGTACAATACTACCAGTGGATGTTGTCTTCCATGATAGTCATGTATGGAATAGCAGTGATAAAAAGTAGTAATGTCTTTATATAAACCTCACAATCCATTTAGCAAGCGCACTCAGAGCAGCTGTGCTTACATATTTGTGAAGTATGTTTTCCCTGAGACTCCTTTTTTGCTGGCATTTTTTTCAGCAAGCTAGAAGGATAACACAGAGATTATGTATACAGTTTGATCATCACTTTGCTTTTGGCATCCAAAGCTCCTGCTCTTTCAGAAACCCCAAAAGGACAATATACTTTCAGCCTATTTTAAGATTTATAAAGTGTGTCAAATGGTTGATATGAAATCACTTAAACAGACCACTGTTATGGCTTTCTGTTCCCTCTGATTCCAAGGTATCTCTGGAGACAAGGTGGAGATAGACCCTTGTACTAATCAGAAGGCCAGCACTAAGTTTTGGATTAAGCAGAAACCCATTTCAATCGATTCTGAATTCCTCTGCGCCTGTGACCTTGCAGAAGAAAAAAGCCCAAGTGAGTAGTCCTTTTTATTTATGTTCTCTCTCCTCTCCCTCTCTGCCTTTGTGTGCTAGATGCCAAGAGAATATATTGCCCCCATGTCCTTTTCTTTCTATACGTGTTTTATTCATTATATGAATTTCTGTTAATCAGACTTTATTCTCCTGTCAGGCGTGTTATATACAGATACACACTGCGGGAGTGGTCTTTTAGCACTCCTCAGTGCAGCTTCAGAGTACACCCTACCCCAGCACCAGTATGGATGGAAGTGCTGTAGCAGAAACGTAGGCTGTGTCCACACGAGTGTGGACATTTGGTTTCCCAGGGACAACTAGCAGCTGGACATCTTGTGCTGCCACTAGTTGTCCCTGGGGACCACCTGTGCCATGGCCTTTTGGCACGCAGCAGGTTACCCTGGGTGGGGTAGAGGAGGCTGGGACAGGCACTGGGCCGTCCCCAGCAGCCTTACCTGGGGTCCGGGGCTCAGAGCCTGGCCGTCAGCCACAGCGGGGCTCTGGCCAGCCAGGCTCCAGGTTTTAGCGGCACAGCACACGCTGTCCCCATGTGCCACTCTTTCTTTTGGCGTGGGTTTTTTTCACCCCTGGATATCTAGGGGTCCAAAAACCCCACGCTGCTCCCTTGCAGTGAGGAGAACAGCTGAATGTGCAGTATGTGGCACTGCAGACATGTCTGTGGCACCACATACTGCATGGCTGCACTCATCTGGACACGACTGTACTGTTTTTGCCAACTGAAGGTTTAACCCACAGCATGATAGTTGCACATTTCCCAACATTGTTGCACTTGGTCTTGGATTTTCAGTGTAGCCCTTATACAGGCAACAACTTGAATAGATTTAAAGGACTGTGTTCATAGAGTTAAATTTAGACCTGAAATAGTCAGGACATGGCAAGTCCAAAATAGCTCCAGTTACGGGGATAACACAGCTGGGATTATGACCTAACTCTGAGAATTTGGCTTCAGCAAAACATTTGCTACCTCTAAGGATTAGGGCAGCGAGGTTTTCCTCTGGAAGACCCAAACAGAATGAAAATGTTAGTGTTGCACAAAACTCATGTTGTGAGTTTAAAGGCTGAAGGTTTGAGATTTGAACTGTGCTGTTAGTGATTTAAAAAAAGTAATTAACAGGACTAGAAGTTCTTTATGCACAATAAAGAGGTGCTGCCCTGATGAGGACTTCGAGTCATAAGCAGGATGCAAAAGTACAGAGATTATACAGATTACAGAGACTGTCACTATAGATGTTGCAGATACTGTTATATATGTGCTTTATTTGACTGTACTATAAGATGCTGTCCTGACCCTTTACCTGTGGTGTGACAGTGAGATAGCGAGTTCTGTGGTTTACATTTACTGGGTGATATGTTTATCATATTACTTTGGAGGGAAAAACTCACAGCTGCCCTAGATTTTGTCAAAAATTATATGAATTCTTCTCCTTGCCACCCTTACTTCATTCTCTTCTGCTTCCACATAGTTTCATAGTTTCATAGATTTAGGGTTGGAAGGGACCTAGTAGATCTTCTAGCCCGACCCCCTGCCAGGGTGGGAGAACAACAAAACCCCAAAACAAAAACGGGACTCAAATGAGTCCAGCCAGGTAGGCATCCAGCCTCTTCTTAAAGACCCCCAGGGTAGGGGCCAGCACCACTTCCCTTGGAAGTTGGTTCCAGCTCCTAGCCGCCCTAACTGTGAAGTAGTT